TTAATTAGATTTTTGTTAGCATGGGATCGGAAGTTAGAGGAAATAAGGTTAGAATCAATAAAATTTAGCTGGCAGATCCATAAATCTGTAAGATAGTAGCCAAATTAAAATTTGCCCATCATATCGGTTTAGAGAATGAAAATAAATATAGAATTAGAGTAATATCTTATTTACAGATGTTTACAAAACTGAGAATCTATTTACAGAATGGGAAGGAAAATAATTACCATGAAGGAGGAGGGAAGATTGAGGGAAGATTTGTTAAACAGAATTTAAAAATATAACAGAGATATCAGAGGGCATGAAACTCCATTAAATTCTGTCTAATAGTAGATATCAGAATTTTAACAAGGTAAATTAGAGAAGTAATTGTATAGAGTTCAAACTTGAAACTGATGTTATGGGCTCACATAGGTTGACTTGGATTTCAAAGGACGGAATCGAACTTTTAGTAAGGATATATACGTGACAACTACTTAAGCTAGCCAGGTAAGTGACCTTACTATTGGCATGGTTATATTTGATGTTGACACGTGCCCTGTGGTTCGGCACGTGTCATATATATTGATATGTGTGAATTTTTTGTGAATCGATATGCTTCCTATATGTTATGTTATGTTATAATATGTGGATTGTATGATAATAATTATGGTACGATGTGCTCTAGGAGATATTTGAGATAGGATACGAGAAGGATGCACAAAACGAAATGTAACGATAGGAGTAAGATACATTCATGAAACGTTGGAGTTAGGTTACATACCGGAGTGCTATGGATAGGAGAGATTGATGAAAGAATACGGTTAGGTTATGGGTAGAAAGGAATAGGTTTGTGATAGATTGATGAAACGATAGCATTAGACACTACAACAAATATTGGATTAGATAGCTTCCGAAAAATGCTATCATAGACCTTTTATAGCATTTTTCGACGTCGTGACAGCCCATGTTATTAAAAGTCTGGAACTTTTTATAGCGTTTTTGTATAGCTATAATAAATGTTATAATATAGTACCAAATATAGCTTATATGCAATGCTATGAAAACATTTTATAGCATTTTTGTTAAAGTTATAAATATGTAAACATAACTAAAATATTATGCTATCATTCATTTTTAATAAGCTATATTTATACTATATTTTATGCTATCATTCATTTTTAATAAGCTATATTTATACTTTTAATCTTATGCTATAACAAAAATATAATTGAAATTTAATAATCTACTTAACACATTACAAAATAAAGTATTCAACTCGATCTATATAAGAATATCAAACTCATTACACTAGCACAATTTTCAAATCAGTTCTTCCCCACCCAATACACAATAAATAGAACAAAAACTCACTATCCCCAATATGTGACATCTTTGATTTTGATCAAATCAAGTACACCAATCCTAAAGGTATTCGAACCGACATCAATGTCTTCTATGTTCCACCCTTTTAGCAATGTCAATTGATAAATTGTTCGTTGTTGCTTGCCAATTAGTGCTTCCTTGCTCCAACAAAAACTTGATCGTTGGGTTGAGGATTAGAGTTGCCTTATCAATTTGGTATCAGAGCCTAAGTTGCATCTTTGTGGCCGACTCTAGGCAATGTCAATTGATAAATTGGTCGTTGTTTCTTGCCAATTAGTGCTTTCAAGGAATCCTGCAACATTATCAAAGCATATATATCAGTGATTCGAAAAGAAGTGCAAAATAGTACCAAAAGGTTTGACATAAGGTGATTCGAAGAGAAGTGCAAAATAGCAACAAAATCTAAATATCATATAAAAGTAAAAAAGAGAATAGAACATTATTGTTCATCTTATATATGTAAGCACGTTTCATTTCTTAAAAACAGAGTATAGAAACATTAGTTCAAATACTTGCATTACAGCTTTCAATTAGAATTGAGAGGGGAGGGCATTGTCCACTCAAAGTTTACGAGGAAAGAAAGAGCATTACGCTTTTTGATTCCCTTGGTTGAAAACCATAACTTTGTAATAAAACCCAATCCTTTCAAATAGCCCTTTTTGATGAAGTGTTGTCCTCATATGATAAACCAAACAGAACCATTAAAAAAAAAATTGATATTATGACGAGTAAGGCCCACCAAAAAAAACTTATTAACCAAAGAAAATTACCATACAAACTAATGAATTCTCTTGAGAAAAAAGAAAAGTAGTCTTTAAAGGGTCTACAAATATTCTTTCTCCTAGTCACTCCAAGTTAGCAAACAAAAGTCAAAGACCGAAATCAGTCTAACTGGTCTTCAAGTTAGGAACAACTTCTTCTAACTGATCTTCTAATTTATCTAAGATCTCAGTTGAAGAAATCCTCAAAATCAAATAAGAAGAAGAATGTGTTGTTGGAAGATAGTTTCTTGTATTATGTTTTTATTCCGTTGATGTAACTCACAACACTACATTCAACTTTTTAACACAAGACAACAACTACATCTACCTCACAGAACTCACCAATCTACATTCAAAGAAAAATTCTACAGCTAGGAAAATACACACTTAAAAGTAAAGTACATTACTTAATGAAGGACTAAAGGACTGAACTCACAAAAGTTTTTTAGTGTGTACTAAATGTAAATGAAAAACTGCATTATTTAGTAGTAGTTCGATCCTTCAATCTAACTCACAAAACTACATTCAAAAAGAAATTAAAAAGGAAGATACAGAGACAAATCACTTATAATAATTCATCAATGAAATTCTTTACAAAGTGAGCCAACAAAGAAGATAATAGGAAAAAAAAAAAACAACTAACCTCTATCTTGGATTGTTCAATCTGCAGTGAGGTAGGAGAATAGGGTTTTTCATAGACAAAGCATCAACAATAAATTGTATGCCTCCTCTCAATGCCACCATCTTGAGATTTGATGCAAATCAGAGAAAAATTTTGAAGCACGAAAGAAGGAAGGATGGATTGTTGCGCGAGAGAAAGAAGGCGAGATTTGGTTTTGCCCTAGGTCTGAGAGAATATGGGTGTGAGGTTAGAGAGAAAAAGTAAGGAAGGCTTTTATAAGCGTGATTAGATTTTTAGGGATAACATTAAAAAAATAAAAATAAAAAAAAATAAAAAAACCTTTATTTTCTTTCTAATTTATAGCATCTTTTAGAAAATGCTATACAAAAAAGCTATAAAAGATGGTATTTGTTGCAGTGAGAGTACGTTCTTGTGACGATATGTTTAAGGTACGTCACGTAATGATATGTCTGTGATTGGTATAAGAACGTTAAGGCTATGGTGAGTTAGAGAACGACATGACTATGAAGTGTTTACGTTATTAACTTGGTTATGATATGATACATTGTATGCTAGATTATGGTGCTTAAGTACGAAATCATGTGAACGTGAATGTATGTTATTTATGCTGCTTAGTTGATGTGATATGAATGCATGTGACGATGTGTGGCCCTTGTACGGTTATGGCTTGTTGTATGAGTATTGAAATGTAACTGAATGAATTGTATGACATGAAATACGGTAAATTGCATGATACATAACCCCGCTAGGAATATGCATGATATGTAACGAAATGAGAATGAGAATGACATGTAAGCATGAAAACGTGACACGGGGTTATGTTCATTAAATGATGACTGTAGGACTAGTGGGATCTCATGCATATTGTGTGATCATGCATTTGGGGGGATACCCCTATCCCATCACGAGGGTACGGACGCGTACATCCAAATGGCAAGACAACAATCGTTATGCCCTGCATAGCGCTGTCGTGATGGTTTTAGTTTTAACGGGTCTCGGTGGGCCCCAGAGCATGCCCACTGGCTAGGGACAGTGACCCAGCAGTGTGCGAACTAGCTGGTGAGCCCATACTCGCACATATGGGTTGCGTGTAGAGTATATGGTACACGTCCACGATTACTTGTTAGGATTGCACCATAGGGAAAACGAAACGAAACGAAACGAAACAAAATGAAATGAAACGAAACGAAACAAAATGAAAGATAGGTCCCATCATTTCATTGCATGTGATTGTTGCATTTAACCCCAATAGTGGGGTCACTTACTGAGTATTTCTTTAAATACTCAAGCCATGTGCTACTACATTTTTCAGGTTAAGGCAAGACATTCCTGTACGGCTGACGACGACATCGCAACTAAAGATCATGGCACATGCATAGGATAGTGGCATTTATATTCTTAGAATTAGGATAGAATAGGATGTTTTAAACTTAAACGCTTATTTATTTTATTTCGAGTCTTTTGTTGTGTCGTTTTAAAGATGTTTTCGAAACACGTAAGTCCATGGCTGTGTTTTAAGTTAAAAGTTATTTTTTATAGAATTTAAGTGAAGTCTTCCGCATTCAATGTTTATGGTACCTATACAGTAGCGACTTTAAATTAAGTAGAAAATTTTGGATCGTTACATGTAAGTGGGGTATCCTATACAATGAGTTTGTATAAGACTGGACCAAGTAATATTTAATCTCTCTTTATAAATCCCTTAATTGAGAAGATTAATATTTCACATGATGATCATATGCGATCTTAATCGTGAGTGAGTTATGAACTCCTACTTGGGAGGGCTTGTCCTTTAATTTATATGGATGAGAACGACTCTTTTAATCGATTCAATATGCCTACAATTTTGGGGACTTCAAATAGGGAGTTGGGAACATAATATCATGAGATGGACTTCACTCCTTTCAATATAAGTACTGATTTCAGAACTTGAACAATGGGACCCCACCCTCTCATTGGCCCAAGAGAGACTTGGTTTATAATTGGATCATAAACAAATTGTTCATCAGAGAATCAGTGGTATGTAAGGTGAAAGATGTAATTATAGGGGTAAAACAGACTTTTGACCCAGCTGTAATTATGAACAACTCGTGAATGATCGACTCGCTTGTAATGATTATATCAATGGACATAACTTGTCCTACAATGCATAAGAGTGCAACTCTAGGCCTATAGTAGAGTGACTTATAGTTAAGGAATGAAAATTAATTAATTAAAGAGTTTAATTAATTAATTTTGTATCATAATCTATAGGTCCATATGGTCCACTTGTTAGCTCATAGTAACGCTAAAAGGTTAATTTATTTGAAAGAAAATTTGAGAGTGTTCAAATTGATATTTAATATATTAGATATATTAAATTTAAAAGAGAAAATAAATTTAGTTTGAAATATCAAATTAATATTTAATATATATATATATATATATTAAATAAATAGAAAAAATATATTTAATTTAAAGTATTCAAATTAATATTTAATATATTAGATATATTAAAGAAAAAATATATTTATTGTATTTGATACTATTAAATATTAAATCAATCAATGTATTTTGATATATTAAATAAAAATATATTTGAAATTTGAATAAGATTTAAATTAGTTAACTATATATATTAAGATATTTTTTTATATTTAAATATGATTTGTATAAGGTATTATATCATAATATATTAAATATGCAAATATATTATTTTGCAAATATTTTCTAAGAGTTCCTATAAATAGGACCCTCAAGGCTGAGACAAAAATATATGAATCTCTCTCACTTTCTCTAGAAAATGAAATTACATATCGAGAGAATTCTTGAAACTCTTCTTCTCCAACCCCTTTGGGATTTTCTTTGAAGAGGCTCCCACCAGCCTTGACTTTGTGTTCGAGTCATAGCAAGGAAGATCTCGTGGAATGTTGAAAATTGTTCCAAAAAATAATTTGGAACAATTTTACTATAGCAAAGAATTGTTTACAATTTTACTACCTAGTAAGAAAGATCTCGTGGAATTTGAAACTTTAATTTTACTCCATTTCGAATTGTTCCAAAAAAAATAAAATTTCTACATTTGGAATGATTCCAAAAGGAAAATAGATACATTTTGAATCTTGAAAATATCTATACTTGATAGTAAAAGTTTTTACTTTGAAATTGTTCCATAAGGAAAAAGAAAAATCTACTTTATGAATTCTTTTAAAATAAAAAAATTATTACATTGGCAATCCTTACAAAACAGAAAAGAGACCTACGGTAGATATCTAAAACCATTTGGAATGGCTTCAACTAAAATAGTTTTATTAAATTTGAAATTGTTAAAAAGAAAAAGATCCTAAAACCAAGATATGTTTGGATTTAAATTATTGTATTTTAATTCATTTTTAATTTCTAAGATAGGTTAGATATGCCCGTCAATTTTGATTTACTTTTAATTTAATTATGCATATGATATGATGTATGTTTTATATTGATTGATTGAATGCATATGGTATGTTATTTAGTTTAAAATCTCATCATAGGGTTGAGCGTAATCATACATTTTAATTTTTTTTTTGAATATAAATAAATTGGAAAATTAAATTAGGATATTTATTCCTTAAATTGAATGCATGATATTTACCAAATAGAATTAGAGTATGTTCTAATATGATTAGAATTTTGAGTAATCTATCAAATTTAATTTTAAACGGTTTAAAATGCTAGAATTATAAGATTATTCAATAAGTGAATTGGTTTTTAATAGGATTAAAAACGGTTTAATTCACGTATGTTCATTAATCTAATAATTAATAGTTAATTAAAGATTAATGAATTTTAAATAAAAATTGACTAGGAAGGTTCTGGCTACGCTGAGGTATTTAAGCTGACTTCTGATAAGTGCCTACAATGCTGGAATTTGCAAAGCTAGAGGTCCTTCTAAAATCCTTGCAAAACGCTCACAGAGAAAGCTAACTTAACGGATTGATTCCAACCAAGAGCTGGTTAGAAGATGAATGACTCTTAGATCGAACTTGGAATCTATGATGGTCACTCTTAGATACCAAGACAATTCACTCCAGAATTAGCTTGATCAAAACTAATTCAATGAATCGATTTAAACATCAAACCTAAAGCAAGGTTTGAAAAAGAACAACACCAAGAGGGTATCAAGAAAACACAAAGGTTTTTTCTGTATTCAACAAAATCCCCCAAACATGAGTATTACATGTCTTTAAATAGGTTTAAAAGGTAACCCTAACATAATATAGTTCAGCCACCCACCACACATTACTAATAAATGCTATTAAATACAAATTGAAGCAAATAAGGCATTAATAAATTTCCTTAATTGGTAATTCAACTACCAAAGGCAAGTTTTCTAATTACTTTTCATAAATTTCCTTAATTGGTAATTGGACTACCAAAGGCAAGTATTCTAATTACTTTCCAATATAAGCAACTTCATTATCTTCTTGATTTGATATGCTAATGCTATAAAGATTTTTGGGCTCAAAAGTCTTTGTTTCAACCGGTACACTAGCTAGCTTTTGAAGATGCAATGTATAGGCCTCTTGAATCTTCTTAACCTTGCTTCTTGTAATCGGTCCTTCGGGTATATGCAAAGGGTCAACAGTTGAATTCATATGAACTTCGAAGTTGAATTAGTCAAATTTTATTTAATTTCATTAAGCAGGCTCATAATGTGATTAGTTTTTTTTAATAGTTTAAAAACTTGGTAATTCACGTTAAAAACAATCCAACCAACATAAGGGTTATGAAAGGGTAGATTGGAAACTTAAGATAATGAGATTAGCCTAATTTGTTGAGTAATAGAAAACCCTATTTCAAAATACTTAGTAGGAGAAGGACGTGTGTCAAGATATCAAGATATTAAGGATGCATGTCGGGATATCCTACATTCTCTATTTTTGATTTACACCGTGAGATTCATGCGGGGCCTCGTGGCGGCTTTTGGACCGTCCCCCTACAGAAGGTGTTTGCATGAGTCAATATCAAGGTGGATATCTTGAGAAAGTATTTATAGTAAATGGGAGAAGGAAATGTGTCAACATATCCTATGGTCTCCATCATTGGTTCATAACATGAGATTTGTGCAAGGTCTCGTGGTGGCTTTTGGACCGTCCCCCTACGGAAGGTATTTGTATGGGTCAATATCAGGGTGAACTCTTGAGAAGGATAAGATAGTAATTTTATTTCCAATA